GTTTAGGAGGTGTGACGGACCGCTGGCACTCTGAGTACCTCCGCCAATCGATGCTCCTAGTGTTCGCTGAGGACTCCAAGCACTCCAACCGACACCATCAGCACTGCAGACCCCACTTCCAGCTATGCAACTGCGCCGGGGTCTCTGCTGTCTCCACCCACCCTGGACCCAAGGCCAGGATCCAGCTTTCAGTGGGTGAACCTCTCTTTCCCCAGAGAGCAAGAACAGGAACAAGCTCTTAGCAGAACTTAGTGATCATACCCTGGGGAGTATAGTGATTATAGCAATCCCCAGAGTGTATTTCCCCAATCCCCCAAACATGAGCCAAGGCTTAATGCTGGAACAAGACTGATTTACTGGCACACAGAACTCACAATTTATGCAACACAAAACTCCTCCTCTGGGCCAGGCTAGATAATTGAGTTTCTACAATACACAAAGCTCAATTATCTGCTGGCCAGAAATAATACAGTTTTTACAGCATTCATAACTTCTAAAATATACATCACATTCACATAAAAATTATATATTCACAATCAATCCATTCAGGGAAACAACATATCAAAAATGGCATGAATCAGACCAGGGGTTCAGAAGTTAGTAAAGTATCTTTTGGGGCCTGGCTGGCAGCATGGATATCTGGCCCAAACTGGTTTTACAGAGCCCTCTAGCCTGGAGACAATGGGGAAAGTAATCCAATTATCCAGGGATAGAAGCAGACTCCATTGAGCACATGTTCCCAGTAAAACACAAAAGGATACAAAAATACATAACTCCTATCATACTGAATTGAACGGGCCAAATCTCCCAGGGTCCATAGTCACAGGGCAAGAGGCGGGCAAGCAGTCCTCTCCAGGCACAAGTGGTGAAGGGCACTTCGTCACACATCTTCCCTTTGGGGGGGAAGACTAAACAGGTACCTGACCTTCTGCCGGTCAGTACCTAGATTAGACGGGCAGCCCACCCACAAAGAAAAATACGCAGAGTAACCCCCCACAATAAATGATACTGGCCTGTAGGTTCAAGTTTGTAGTGGGACAGCGCAGCACTCTCGGTCTCTCTGGTGCAGCTAGGCAAACTGCTGGTGTTGCTTGGGGGGCAGCTCTGCCCTGCTGCCAGCTCTTCCACTGGGGTAACCCGTGGTAAGTCAGGCTCTGATACAGTGGAAAAGGGGGGGCAGAGGCTAACAGAGCTTCTGCTGGGAGGGGGTCAGTGGGTATCGCAGGCTCATCCGCTGCCCCCAGGACCCGGTTGGGATGTAGCTGGGGAGGGGAAGTTTCGCTTACCTCCTCCTCCTGGCATCCCTGCAGGGTTGGTTGGGGATTTGGACCGCCCGTCCAGCCTCCCTGTAGGACTGGCACAGAGACCGCGGTCCCAGCTGTGCCAGTGTGGTTAGGTTTGTCTTCCCCCTCTCCCGGTATCTCTGGCTGCTGTTGGAGGGGGAAGTTGGTTGCCCCCACTCCCCAGGATGCTGGTTGCTGTAAGGTGGAGGGATCGACCATCACCTCCTCCTGGAACTCAGGCCGCCGCTGGGGAGAGAGACCAGTTGTCTCCTCTCCCTGTATATTACACTGCCGCTGGAGACCTGGGCTGACTGCCCAGCATCCCTGTAGGGCTGGCAGAGAGACTTCGGTCCCATCTCCGCTTGATGTTGGAGAGGGACAAGTCTATGAGGTCGCCCACCTCCGGCTGCTGTTGGAGAGGGAGACCGGTTGCCTCTCCTCCCCAGGACGCTGGTTGCTGTACGGGGGAGGGATCTACCATCACCTCCTCCTGGAACTCAGGCCGCCGCTGGGGAGAGAGACAGTTTGTCTCTTCCCTCTGTACGGTGCACTGCTGCTGGGAAGGGAGGTCGCTGCTCTCCTCTCCCTGTAACTCACTCTGTCGCTAGAGATGGGGTGTCAATACCCCCAAACTCCACAGTTGGTACTCGAAGTTCTGTGCATCTTGGTTCTCAGCACTCAACTGGCGCATCACTTGATGGACCACCTCATCTGAAGGGTTTGGGCCAATCCAGACCAGCCGCGCCTTTACTTCCTTCATGAAATCAGCACCCTCATACCACTGTGACAGGCAGATTTGCAATTCACTGGCTGCAGTCTTGCTAGCTCCATGTTGCTGTAGGTAGGGACGCTGCGCAGAGGCTAGCGTTGCCCTCAATTATAAATCCGTAACTCCACACGTTACCGGTGTCTCCGAGCTGCTGGTCCTCGCACTAGGACGCCATCCCACCACTATCAGCACATGGGCCATAGTCGGAAGGCAGGAGGCTAGCCAGCAGTCCCCTCCAGGCACAAGTGGCGAAGGGCACTTCGTCACAGGAGGTCCGGCCTGCAGTCTGGTTATTGAGGTTTAGAAGGTCTGGCCTGCAGTCTGGTTATTGAGGTTTATAAGGGACGGCCTGCAGTCTGGTTATTGAGGTTTAGGAGGTCCGGCCTGCAGTCTGGTTATTGAGGTTTAGGAGGTCCGGCCTGCAGTCTGGTTATTGAGGTTTAGGAGGTCCGGCCTGCAGTCTGGTTTTTGAGGTTTAGGAGGTCCAGCCTGCAGTCTGGTTATTGAGGTTTAGGAGGTCCGGCCTGCAGTCTGGTTATTGAGGTTTAGAAGGGCCGGCCTGCAGTTTAGTTTTTGGAGTTTCATCCAGTTTATTCTCAGAGATTAAATAAACAAAGGTTTTGTTGACTGTGTTCTTGAAGCTTGTTTCCTAATTTACAGAAACTCTACTATGTGAAGGAGGCCCATGGCATAGTGGTCACAGACTTGGCTTTCCTTCCAGACACTATCAAAGGTCGTAAGCTGCAGGGGGACAACGAGACTGCCCTGCTGAGCGTTGCTGTGGATAGCCGCTGTTTGCTGCACATGGTGCCCAACAGACGTATGTATTTATTTCAATCTAACCAACGTAGATGGGGAACTGCTTATTAACTATTGCCATCCCTATATCTTACAGACATGGTGCCCAACAGATTTATTCAAAGATTAACTGTCATTATTTTGCTCACTTACATGTTTATTATTTTAATTACTCCATATATCTGCATCCAGTGAAACTCTAGCTAGTATATCAGGAGAGAACATGGTGATTGGGGATGATTTATGGGAACAGTGGAGTCTTCTTGGTTGGACTATCTTGTCTACATAGTCTCTCAACATAGTCAGCTATAGATCTATTGAACATGTGAGCGTTGCTGGCTGTGTGTTGTGACTTGTGTTGCAGGAGTGAAATCCTGCAGCTGGTAAACCATGGGTTTGAGGTGTCGTGATTTGTTTGAAACCATTGGGTCGGGATATGTGGGTGAAGAGTTTGATATGGGGGTGGCTGGCCCCATTCGTTAACTGCTGTTAACTAACATTTTGTGATATTTTTCTGCCTCATTTCTCTAGGGACCTTTCCAATTTGGCTTTTTCTCATTTTCTGTGTCCTGCTTGTGGTGTTGGTCATTCTCTTACTTCAACACGCATTCCCGAACTTCTTATAAATGCTGTTTAGACCAACAGCCCACATTCTTTACAGAACAGAAGCTGGGATAAAGGGCCGATTTTATCCCAATCCTATTACTGCTTCTGGGACCACTACTGGAGCAGCTGTAGATCTTCAACCCTATCAAACATCTGGCATTGGACAGCGAATGTCTCACCATATTGAACGAGGGGCGTAAAGGAGATGATCATAGAAGTGCACTTTTAACTCTGCTACTTGATAGTTTTCATTTTGTCACGTGAAAAGAAGGTTATTGCAGAGAATGTGGTTTAATAATGTTATTAATGGAACGAAAGTGTTGATTTTAAAACTGTTCTTACTGGTAGCATCTTAAGCTCAGGAGATCCCAAAAGAGTTCTTATCAGCAGGAGGAGTTAATTCACTCCCGAAATAATTGGAGTCAGAACTTGAAGCCTTTTCTACATTCCTTCTGCTGACCATGCACAATGTTCTCCACTTCCGTGTCACTAAGAGAGGCAATCAGACCACGTTCTTCCAGTGGTTAAGCTTTTAATAGTCTTACCAGACAGTGGGCCTCCATCCTTCCGCCTCGTGGCAGAGGTGTTAAGAGCTGAAGGCACACGCTGTTTACTTTTTTTTTATGTGCCGTTGTATTGTATGGATGTGTGATTTAATATTGACCCACAGCAGCAGATCGTTTAGTAAGAAAACATGCAAACTGTGTGTTAAAGTTCTAATTTCTTGGATTACAGGTTTATGAATCCTACATCCATTTGGACCTAATATGACTTTGAGAAGGAGAATACTTGGGGAGTTTGGTAAAGACATTATTAATGTGTAGAGGCTGCAATTGGAAATAAAAATTTGGATGCCTCCTATTCATGTTATAATGTATATGTATAGCTCGGAGAAGGGAAAGGAAGACGTGATAAAACAGAAAGAGCTGGGGGAGAGGGGAATATGATAAAACCCTGAAATCCATTGTTTGTAACTCGGGATGTGATAAAACAGACTAAAAGCCAAATTATAAGTATAGCTCGGAAGGGGAGAGGGGGATATGATAGACAGAAGGCTATTAATATGTGTAGCTCGTAGGGAGAAGGGAGAGAGGTATATGAGAAAACAGACGCCATTAATATGCATAGCTCGGAGGGGAGAAGGGAGAGGGGGATATGAACAAACAGACTGAAAGCCATTAATATGTATAGCTCGGGGGGGAGAAGGGGGGATATGATAAAACAGACTGAAAGCCATTAATATGCATAGCTCGGAGGGGAGAAGGGAGAGGGGGATATGATAAAACAGACTGAAAGCCATTAATATGTATAGCTCGGGGGGAGAAGGGGATATGATAAAACATAGACAGAAAGCCATTAATATGTATAGCTCGGGGGGAGAAGGGAGAGGGGATATGATAAAACATAGACAGAGAGCCATTAATATGTATAG